AAAAAAAAAAAAAAAACTTCAATACAGGGGGATGCCAATCCGGATCTTTGTCCTGCTCTCACTACATGTGGAAACGTTTCAGGTCCGGAAAAAGTCAAACCAAACCTGTTTGACTGTCATCCGAAGTCAACGACACCAAACATTCAGCTGCCACTGCACGCAGTCACCGCCAGACTCGTGTCGAACAAAGGAACAAAACAGCGCCGTATCAAAATAAAGCCTGCGCGCTGCTGGAGGCACCAACATGCCAGTCCTGATGTGACTACTGTCTTAACCCGGGTAGGACAGCCTGTCATTATAGCCGTATCCGGCTCAACTTTCAGTCTAGGTACAGCGATGATGTACCGGGCCGCGGGCGTTGTGTTGGTGTGAAGAAGCTAGTTGCCCACCATAACCAGCATCCATCTTATTCCCACCATAGCCAGCCCGCATCTCATTCCCACCATAGCCTGCCCACATCTCATGCCCCACCATAGCCAGAAGACATCTCAGTGCGCCCCATATCCCGCCAGCATCTCATGCCCCCATAGCCAGTACACGGCACTTCCATCCAGCATCTCGTTCATATCCACCATAGCCAGCCAGCATCTCATTCCCACCATAGCCAGCCAGCATCTCATTCCCACCATAGCCAGCCAGCATCTCATTCCCCCACCATAGCCAGCCAGCATCTCATTCCCACCATATCCAGCCAGCATCTCCGTGCAACCCATCGATTGCACTTCCAGATTAATCTCCTCTCTGTTTCCGTGGACCAGCATTCCTGCTCACAGCCTACATACATTTTAACTGCTAATCAGTTTTAAGGAACCGATGCGTCCTGCCGGCCGGACAAAGCCATCGACAAGGCAGGCATCAGACCGCTGCCGCACACAAAAACACGTGCGTCCAAAGCTGCAGAAATGGGGCCAGCAGATAAAACGACTCCGGTCGACATCCGAGACAACTACTCGGCCCATGGCTTTTGAAAGAAAAAACGCTGACCGCGCAGCATGCAAAGAATCAACGCCAGTCGCTCCCTTCTTCATCGCTTCCCTTCTACCTCTCCCCTTGTTGTTAATCACCTCTGTGCTAATCATGCCAGCCAGGTCAGTAGGCATATGGTACCCCACCCAAAACTCCATGCCCCCCCCCCCCCCCCCCCCCCCCCCCCCCCCCCCCCCCCCCCCCCCCGGTCTAGCGCTGCATGGGAGTGCACTGTGGGGAGGCCACTGGGCCCTTTTCAAGGCAATCGAGCGGAAGAATAAATTTAAAGCCACTCCCTTCTTCACCCATCCACTTCCCCCAGTTCCCCATCTCACTGCTGCAACAAAAATAATCTATGCCTGTTGCAAATCCTCGGCTGAAGTTCCCTCTTTTATTGTTTGTATATCACGCCCTTCTTTTGTTGTTTGTATATCGCGCCCTTCTTTTGTTGTTTGTATATCACGCCCTTCTTTTCTGAGGTACCGCTTCGCTTCCACTACTGCCCTTGACCAGTGCTGTGACACATTTCTCCCCCTGCTGGAAGAGACAGCCGACAAACAAACAAAAAAAAAAAAACGACGACAATCATCAAATGTTTTACAATACCTGCCTTGTCAGACGAGAGTCGGTTATATCAATCAACAGCAATAACTGTTCGGCTGTAAACGCAGCCTCTTTGGGGGCGCTTAAAATCACCACCGCAGTTCAGCGATGCAAGTGCTGTCCATTTTTTTCCCAGTATTCAGGTTTCTCCCCTCCCGGACTCCCAACACGTGGTATCGCATCGGTCCTCCTCGACTCCTCGGCCGGTCAGCTCCGGAGGCACTGGTGGTCTATATGACCGTCTTTGGCGTATTCCATAACTCGATGCAAATCGTATCGTTCAGGGAAAAGTGAGGCATGCACACTTGCTGTAATGCGACGGTCCGACACAACTAGCAATTTCCATGTCCCCCCAAATGACCTCCTTTTCCCCTCCAAGGGAGAGCATACTCACACTAGGTACCAGACAGACGCTTGATCTTGTTAGGACAACACGAGTAATGTGAACAAGCAACAAATAGTTTGTTGCTTGTTCACATTGCTCGTGTTGTTCACATTACTCGTGTTGTTCACGTTACTCGTGTTGTCCTGTCATCAACAGATATAGGCAGCAGACAGAGGCTAGGAGAAATGACGAGAATTTGGACACAAAGATTTAACAGTTTGGATGGACGCTTGATCTTGTTAGGCGGCAACATGATGTAACGAATTAGTATTACTAATTGGCCCAATTCCCGATTTGGACGGGCAACAGATCAACCAGTCTGAGAATCTAAGCAGACCACTTGGACGGGCGAAAATACCGAATTAGCGGAGCAGTTTCACATGTTAGTCACATGCTTCTGATTCGTGAGCCTGCTCCTCCTGTAGCCTGTCAATCTAGAAGCTCGCCTCAATTTAGCTTTGCCGATGTTTCGTGTCATCTGTCTAACCCATCCTCGGCAAATATCAGCGGTGATTACCAAAGGACCGCGTGCTGGGAAGATGAACAAACAAGTCAAGCGGGTGGATGCTCGACAGGTCAAAGCGGGTGGAAGATGAACAGCATGCAGCACGTGAACGCAACAACATGCAAGGCACGTGGGTGGACCCTCGACAAGACGAAGCATGCAGGTGAGACCAGCAAGCGCGTGAGATCAGGGCGCAGGTGCGAGAAACACGAAGGTGAGAGCACATGATACACGCAGCAAGCAGGTGAGAGCAGGACGCACGATTTTCTGTTCGCCCAACCAATGTATGCCTTTGGCGGTCTGAATTGCTCAGTGGCTTGATGGCGTGCGCATAGCGAGCCCGCCCAGCCCGCCCAACCTACTAGAACACCTGTCCATATCGCGTCACTAGATGACATATTTGATTCTACCTCTCCAAGAAGCTTCTACAATAATCTAAATCGCTTCACAGTTTCCGTAACGTACGTGCGTTTCTCTACATTGAATGAAAAAAAAAAAAAAAAAAAATACAAAAAACATTGACTTTGGCCAAAGTTTGGCGGGAGGCCAGTAGGCCCTGCCGATTTCCGCTCGCATATGACCAAATAGCGGCAATAACTATCTAATAATGTTTCTGGTCACAGGAGTGACTTAATAACATCATGTGGTCCGATGGATCACGGATCAGATATTAAACTGATCAGAACAGATACTTGTAGTTTAGTCCAAAAAATTGGCAAAAAATTCACAAAAACACAGACTTAGGGCCTCGCTGCACTACTCTCGAAATGTGCAAAACGAGAGTGAATCTTCCGCTAGAATATGGACAGATACACGGCCATGAGTTTTGTCTTTTGTGCATTTCAAGAGTAGTCCAGCGAGGCCCTTAGCCTATGTCATGTCAGCAGCTCAGCACCATTGCTACGACTGACCTCGCAGAAAGTCCAAGGTTTCTTTTTTTTTTTTTTTTTTTCTGTTTTCTGTGCATCTGGTCTCTGCTAATTTCAGAGCGAATGAAATTCGATGGTCCGATTATCGAGCTCCTTCCAGGGTTTCCAGAATTGTCTGCCTAAATGCCCCCCTCCTCCTCCTCCCCCCCCCCAAAACACACACACACACACACACACACACACACACACACACACCACCATAATGTGCATGGATTTTTTATTTCAAATTTTCACCCTTCATCCCCCAAACACAGCCCCTGCAACTGGTCTTACCTCTTGGTGAGCACCTGCAAAGTACCCCAGCTGACTGTACTAGCTGCAATCCATGAGTAGCAGTCTGTGTTTGATCACAACACGCAGAAAAGAGTCCATCTGGGTTCAGGAATCAGAAAATGCCAGGAAAAAAAAAAAGAAAAAAAACACTCCTGAGTCCTTACACTGTAGACCCCAGCAGACGTCGATATTCCCTACAGCTCAGAATAGGGTACGACGTTCCGAGGACAACTCAAGTGCAAAGTTGCAAACACTCTGCTTAGTGTTTGAAGTTCGAACACAAGCCACCACACATTCAAATACAACACACCTCATATTCAAATACAACACACCTTATATTCAAATACAACATACAACGCACGCTGCATAAAATATTCATTTATTTATTTCCTTGGGTACGGGGTCCGAATACAACACACCCCGAGCAAGCTCAAATATAACACTTTGGAAGGCAGTCATTTGATTCAGGGCCTGGTTGACATTGCTTTAGAGGTTTCTGTCATCACGGGCCCACCCATTGCACTCTCTCGCACGGAAGCTGGCTGGTCATCATGTGAATTAAAAACAAAACATCAATAACTGGTTATCAGGAAAGCGAAAGACATCAAAGAGATTAAAAGTATGCAGCTCATCCGCAACATACACAGGCAATGAAATGTGTGGGCAAATTAGAGATCTCTTCAGCCCCAGAGGTGGGGAGAATGTTTCTCCTTTTAAGGCGACGGTGGGGCACAAACAGAGTTTTAAGGCTACGGTGGGGCACAAATAGAGTTTGTATTAATCGGTTTAGTGCAAGGGACACAATGCAGATTTTGAAGCAGGCACAAACAGCTGAAAAAGAAGAACACCAATTCTCACAAAGCACCAACAGCACCGACAGAAACACGACAAGGTCACAAAGAACCTGTATGCCCGGTCGACGACGCGAAGCCCAGGGATCATCAACATGGGGAAGATACAGTGTAACACAGCCAAAAATGACTCGAATCAGACACGGACTGACCTGAAGATGTAGCAAAATCACAATGGGACAAAGGCCTCACTCACAGCGGGGAGGAACCTCAGTCTCTTCTCCTCCAACTCCCCTCCACATCAAGATGTCCCGGATCTCAACTCGGGTACTAAACTCCCAACACAACAATCCCAAAACTCTCTCTCTCTCTCTCTCTCTCTCTCTCTCTCTCTCTCGCTCGCTCGCTCGACCCGGATCTCAATTCGGGGACTCGATTCCCAACACTAATCCCAAAACAACCACACACACACACACACACACACACACACACACACACACACACACNCACACACACACACACACACACACACACACACACACACACACACACACACACACACACACACACACACACACACACACACGGTGACCAGTGAAAGGCAGAGCCTTGAGCCACCAATGGCCTCCTCCCTATACAGTACAAGGTAGGACAAACTCTCCACTGGCCTCTCACCTGGGCCGGCCGATCTTGACAGCTCAGGTAAGCAGCAGTGGTCCTGCCTCTACCGCAGGCCCAGGCCCATATGTGTGGCCTGGATCCCTACATGTGAGCGCGCCCAGGTCCAATTCCCCATCTCAGCACTCGGACCTGGGCCTCGAACACAGGCTCAGCCACAGAGAGACGAGCTGCGCCAAACATGAAACAGCATCCGCCAGAACAGGACAAACCTTTGCCCTTTTCAGACAAGAGAATGAAACAACATAATGTGGACCAGGACAACACAAGTCGGTGCAGAAGATATGAACTGACACCAATCACATATGCAGCAAACAAAATAACAATGACCTAGACAGAACGAACTCAGAACCGACAAAACATCAACGAACATCCGTGAAACTCACTCACCCAGGCCCTCGTACTGGTTGGGGCTCTCTGCCCAGCGGTCTCAAAGTCAGACAGGCCGCCAGGGGCACTCCCAAAGAGAAGTCCCGGCCTCCCAAGCCAGGTGTGGGCCGGCCCAGAATGCCACACCCCCCACCTCCTTAAGAAACTGAGCCCCTGTGAGGGAAGGACTGACAATCTGAAGGGGGCACCCTTGGCTTCAGCGGGGCATGCCAAAGGACCTTCTTATGCTGCTGCCTCCACATGGCATCAGCGCTCATATTTGCAAAGATCTCAGGCTTTGTGGCCTCAAGATCTGAGCCCCTGCGAGGAAAGAGCGGACAATCAATCTGAAGGGGGCACCCTAGGTTCCGATGGTTGTGCTGAAGGACCTTCTAGGCTGCTGCCTCCAGATGGCATCAGTGCTCATATCCTACACAGATATCAGGCTTTGTGGCTTCGAGATCTGCATGATCAAGGCAACAATCAGCATGCGGCTTGCCATATCCATAGCAGACCTTGGAAACGCAGGCTTCTTCCCGTTGTGCCGATGTGCGACATCTCCCGAACCTCCTGATACCCACCCATAGACGGGGCTCCTGTGAATGACTTTCCTCAAAGGAATCACACTCAGCATCAACAGGGCAAGCCAGCTTCAAGGCATGAAACATGGGGTGAAGAGGTAGAAGAGCGAAGGATAGGAGACAAACGAAGGGTGGTCAGTAGATCCCCGGAAGGAGTTAACCATTTGGGAAGGAGTTTGTGAGACAATGCCCTGTTCCGAGCGAAACCCCATCATTTGTGAAGGAGTTTGTGAGACAACGTCCTGTTCGGAGCTAAACTGTTGCATACCGTATAGGTGCAGACCAGAACAAGAACCGACCTTTCAATACAAGGTATAAGATAGCACACCGGAAGACTTAGATACCAATGATCCAAACAATCAATATTGTAATGCAGCCCCGAACATACATCATCATCATCATGGTGTGAAGGGGTCTGGCGCTTCACACAAGAAGACTGCGCCAGCCCCAACCATACACAGACGAAGGAGGTGGGGTTAGACGAAGAAGAAGGGAAKATGGGAATGTCGTCAACACCAAGTGTTCAGCACAGGCCCAAATAGTCCCTCGTCAAAATGTCTGAATCCCAATGTCGAGTCTGGATCCAATGTCGTCAAGTCTCACGTCACAACTCTCTCTGTGGTAGTCCGCTGATACTGAGAAGCAGGCGGAGAGGGGAAGAAGAGATGGTGGACTGAGAAGAAGAGGAAGAAGAACTCTCTCTCTCTCTCTCTCTCGCTCTCTCTCTCTCTCTAGTACTAACCTGTGAAGTTGGCGCCTTGATGCAGGTACCTCGAAGATGGAGCTGGAGCGATGGCGCCACAGGTACGTACCACTGGCCTCCGCCAGTGTCTCTCCCCACTCTACTACCTACCACCTACAGCGCCCAGCGCTGAAGATCACTGCTATGGCTATGGCGCCCAGCGCCGAAGACTACAGCTAACGCTACTACTACTGCCTAGCGCTGAAGACTACTGCAGCGCTCCTCCTGAGTGCTGCGGCCGAAATCTGAAGACTACCGTCCTACTCTCCAACTGCCTACCCGTTCAGTGCCTGAAGCTCCTATGTACTATCACGGGTGCCTCCTGACTCGGGCGAGCAGTCCAGGAGGCTGCTCTTGCCAATAATGCCGAAGGGAGGCAGGGGCTGCAGCTGCAGCTCCTGCTTGTGCTCTTGCCAATAATGCCGAAGGGAGGCAGGGGCTGCA